GTTTTGCATGCGTGCTTTCCACCAATTCCGATGAGGTCGATTGTTGAGTGTCTTCGTTGTAGGTGGAGTTGATGCACCAGGCTTTCAGTAATAAATGAAAGCTCTGAGCCTTGATCGATGAGGATTCTTGCGATGGTGTAGAATCCGCCGTTGGAGAATGCCCTGGCTTTTGCCGTTGCCAAGAGAACTAGTCGTTGATCCGTTGAGTTGATGGACAGCGTGTTGTTCTCTACGTTGATTCGTGTTAATGATTCTCGATCCGTTGAGTTTTCATTGACGTTGACTGTTGATGAGCTGGTGATTGTGCCTGGTTGAATGTACAAGGGGGATCAGTGTTCTGAGTGATGTATGAGAATATAATAAATTAAACACTCAGACCTGATTCCTCCCTCGTTGGTGGTGCCTCTGGAGCGTTGTTGGATGAGGTGCTGGCTTCACTCCTCTCTGGATCCAGGTGCAGCATCGTGTGATGGCGTTGTTGGCATTTAACGCAAGCCTTGCTGCACTTACATTTTGCCACCGTATGCGTGCCGAAGCAGTTGAAACACAAGCGCATGCCTGTATGTAGTCCAACCGTTTCCTTGGTGGAAGGTTTTGGAATGCTGGGCACTTTCCAATAAAGTGCCTGTCCCTGCAATATGCGCAGCAATCAGCAGGTCTGGATCGTTGACTCTCTGTTTACTGAGGTGCTGTCTCAGCCACATGATGTGCACGTGCCCGTTGTGTTGATTTTCCCTGAGGCGTTGATTTCACTTTTGGCTTTGGTGAATCTTGTTGATCATCTGGAGTCATGCCTCTGGCAGTTGACTCCAGGAAGTTGACTAGCTCTTGCAGGGGGACGAAGTTCGTTGAGGCACCCAGCCTTTGCTCCCATGTGGTGCGTGTGTCCGCCTCCATGGAGCGTTTAAGCAGGTGGAAGACAAATTGTGCGCCCAAATTTTCTTTTGGTATCCCAGCGGTGTTGATGAGCTGATCCACTGTTTCTCTTGCAATGTGAGCGTTGTTTATCATTGCCTTGGCATCTCCCTTGGCCATCGTTGGCAAGTTGAGCACCCTGTTGAAGAGATGCCCTGCAATTAATCGTGGATTTTCATATTGGCATTGAAGCTTCTCCCAAGCTTTCTCAAAATTGGCGTCTGTGGCAGTGAAAGAGGAGATGTGCTCAGCTGGTGGACCTTGGAGAGCTTCCTTCAGCCTCACAAGTTTCTCAGCTGGCGACATATCAAGTCGTCTCCCCACCAGGTTCTGGAAAAGATCGGAAAATTCCTTCCATTGTGAGAATTGTCCTCGAAACGTTGGTAAGTCAATCCGTTTTAGTTAAGTGGTCGTTGGGCGTTCCGTTGATAATATTTCTTTCGTTGCGAGTTGTCCCTTGAGCTTCCAGATACGCTTCAAGGTCTCTCTCTTGAGTTCTCCTGTCCTCAAGAAGACTTTGCCCTTCATGAATATGTGCTCTGAGGGCAAGTTGCCAATGATTGTCTGGGAGCGATCTGCAAAATCTACCCAGGCCTCTTTTAGATACGTCTCCTGACCGTTGAGCTCTTCCATCGTTGTGTCTGAGGCCGTCATGTGCATCAGTTCGTGGTGTATGCCGTTGAATTCGAGCACCTTATCCTCCAGGAACTCCAATTGATTGAGGGTTCCTGGTGATAGGGTGGTTGAGTGACTCGTTGTGGGTTGAGGGTCTGGTATCTCAGACAGTCTTGTTTTTATTTTGTTGAGATCAGGTAGCGGTGGGTCTTCCACAGCATTTGCCCATTCTTCTCGCTCTTGTTGCTTTTCAGGAGCATGTACAATGATGGGAGGTACATC